TTAAAACACAACCTGAGCAAAGGCACAATGGCCTGAAGGTATAAGCAGGAGTCAGGATGGGAAGGCAGAATTGCCAATTGTCTGCGACTGCAGCTAGGCTTCTCTGGGTGGGCCAGGAGTGGGCCCTCCTTTCTGGGAGACCTGGGGTACCAAGGCTGAGTCACACTCCGTTTGGAAACACTGGAGTGAAAGGGCCTCTTGCCCAGGAGAGAATCTTCAACATGGGAGCCATGACTCCAGCTGGTACCTGAAGATTTCCCATAAGCCTGGAAACAGGCCCTTTCTTCCTTTACAGGGCTGGGCTGGAACATGTGAAATGTCCAATGAAGAGACTCATCAGGCACTGTGGCCCTCAGCCTGGCCACAGAGCTCTATCAATTCATTCACCCAACATTTATTGAGCACCTATGGTATACTGTGCCAAGGGTAGATGGTCCAAAAGTAACTGATATACATTCTTCACAGAAAGGTCACTAAATACATGCAACCCCTGGAAATTATACAGAAAGGCATTTAATAATTTAGAGAAGGAATATATTCTATAGGAAAAGGCAAGTTACAAATCTGTTATACATAGAATAATGGTATTTTTTTAAGATTTTTTAAATTTACTTATTTGAGAGAGTGTGTGCTTGAGTGGGGGGAGGGGCAGAGGGAGAGGGAGAATCTCAAGCAAACTCCACACTGAGTGCACAGCTGGACGTGAGGCTCAATCTCACGATCATGATCTGAGTCAAAATCAGGGTCAGATGCTTAACTGACTGAGCTACCCAGGTGCCCTGAATAATGGTATCTTCTATAAAAGAAAAACTTCCTTTCTGCATCTAAAGACACAGAGATTGAAAGGATGTATGGTTAATATCAATACACACACACACATACACGCACACACACGCAACATGCATTTTTTCTGAGTGGTAAGATTACAGGTGATTTACAATTTCTTCTTTGTCTCTATTTTCCAGATTTCCTACAATGCACATGTATAATTTTGAATCTGGAAAAAAACAAAAGAAAAATTTTATGTGTAACAAAAAGCACAGCCCTTGTGTTCCCAGAGATGCTCACAGGCAGTACGGGACTCAATCATGCCCACATGGAAGTGTGTTGATGGTGGATGTTAGGAGACTCTGGGTCCTATTTCAACCTATTATTTTAGCAGGCAGTTATCCTGTTTAGTTTTAGCACACAGCTACTGGCCTATTCTGTGGGCTGTGGTTCCAATGACAGTTTAATTGTCAGGGCTCTTGGTTCCAGTCTGCCTGTTTACCTGGTGCTTCTGGGGCTCCCACTGGGCCCTGCTGGTGCTACCTGAGGAGATAGGTGTGGTTCCAGATGGGGCACTGTGTCTCCTGGCAGGTAGGGGAGTTCTCGTCCAAGGGTACAAGAGGTTTCTCTGGCCAGATGCTTATTGTGACAGGATTCCCTTATTGTGATGGTGACTCCTCTCCCCGCTCAGGGTCTCTAGTGGGAGAACAGGGTCTTAGCCCTAGGGGAACAAAGAAGCTAGCCCCTTGCCTAAGCCCCCAGGTCCAGGAAGCCTCTCAGTGGAGGAGCGACGTCTCAAGCCTGGGGTAGAGAGCTCTGCCCTGGCTGTGTATGGGGAATGGGGTTCCCAATTGATCCCCCTAGCATGTGGTGTTACAGGAACTCTCATTCCATACAGGAAAGGAAGAGCCTACTGGGTATCTTCCATGGTAGGTGGGGGTGGGAAACACTGGGTCTGGGTTCTCCTTCTTCGGCTGGCGGGGGTGGGGACCTAAGACACTGCCCCACTGTGTTTTTCCCCCATGCTGGGGCCTCAAGCCAGTTCTCCTTCCTACCACCTGTGAGAGTTCGGGGTGACTCCCGCTGTGCCAGTTCGGGAGCCCAAAGCCGTGTGGAGCAGACAGGAGCCCAGAGAGCTGGAGCTTTGCCATCTCCCCCACAACACAAGCCCCTCGCCGGTCTCCTTCACTTCCTCCCTCTCCTCCATCAGTCCTTCACGCTCTCTGTCGGGGTATAATTCACGTACTATGAAACCGCCCATCTAACACGTAGAGTTCAGTGATTTTTTTTGCGCAGTCCCCAGCCTGTGCCGCCAACACCACGGTGCAGTTCCAGAGCGCATCCGCCGGCATGGAAACTCTGTATCCAGGAGCAGGCGTTGCCTCCCCCTCCCCCCAGCCCTGGACAACTACTGGTCTACCTTCTGTCTGTAGGGATTTGTCCTTTCTGGACCCTTCACAGAAATGGAATCGTGCGGTATGTGGTGACTATGAACGGCTTCTTTTGCTTTGCAAGTCTTCAAGGTCGACCCATGCCGGACACCCTACTTCATTCTTTTTATTTGCAAATAATAGTCCATTAAACAGATTCCATTCTGTGTACTCTTTCAACACTTGAATATGTAAGTGGTTTCCACTTTGGGGCTACAATGAAGAATGCTGCTGTGGACATTCAGGCACGGGTGTGTGTGTGGACGTGTATTTTCATTGTTCTTGGTTTTATGCCTGGGAGCGGGATTACTGGCACATTTGGCTGCCATACCGACATCTGCTACAACATGGGTCAACCGCAAAAGCCTTACACTAATCGCGAGAAGGCAGCCGCAAAGGACCACATACTGCACGATTCCATTCATATAAATGTCCACAATGGGAAAATCCATTGAGACAGAAAGTTAGATTCGTGGCTGCCTAATGATGGTGTCCTGGCTGGGGGAGAGGGCTGACTTCTCATGTGTACGGGGTTTTGAGGGAAGTGAGGAGAATATTCTTAAGTTGACTGTAATGACAGTCGCGCATTTCTATGAATACACTGAAAACCATCGCATGGCACGCTTGCGATCGGTGAATTGTATGGAATGTGCGTTATATCTCAGTAAGGTTATTCTTTAAAAGGACAGAAGGGAGAGAGGGAGGACGGGAGGAAGAGAGGCTGTGTGGGGAGACTGTGTCCCCCAGGGCGAGCTGTCCGTGTTTCCGAGAGCCACAAAGCTCCAGCCTCAGTACCTCCTCTGAAGCGAGGCCGCTGTAAATCACCGGCCGGGAATGGCTCTGTAAACACGCACCGGCAGCCTCAGCTAGGTGGGGATTACTGCTTTATTGATCCTCAGGTACCTTCTGGGGATTGAGTTGCTTGGAACTTCTCTACTTGCCTTCTGAGTTCCCCCGTGCAAGTCAGGGCCCATGTGTCCCAGCCCAGGATTCCCGGCGACCCCAATCTCCTGCTGTAAATGTCAGGGATGATAAAGTGGGGCCAAATCTCCTGTAGGAAATGGTGGGAACCATACCTCCAACATGGAGGCAACAGGGCTGGGCAGCGTTCTGGGGAATTCCTCAAAGCTGCCCTCCCGCAGGTGCCCAGGGGGCGGGTGACAGAGGACCGATGAACAGAAAGTGCATCTAGAGCCTTGTTTTCTAAAACCCTTCTGTCCTGGTCGCTTGTGCCCACCACATGATAAATTGTATTAAATTTAAGGTTCAGGAGACATACAAAGTAAGGGACGTGCACAGCTTCCTAGAGAGAATATTGGTGGCATTGAGCTAAGGTAAGAGCTACCGCCAGGTGAGGGCCAGAGCGGGTCTCAGGGCCCCCCAGGAGCAGCAGGGAGTCACACAGCCTGCAGGTTTGGGGTGCTGGCCTTGCCACAGTAATTTCGTCAGGCACAGGATATTAGCAATGCACTCTTTTTATTCATTAGCTTAAACAAAGCAATCAAAGATAGATAGATAGATATAGTAATGGTTCTCTGTTGAAAGAGAAATGGTTTGGAACCACCTGGTCCTTTGACTTCAGGAGACTGCCCCTGCTTGCCAATTTTATGAGGTTGGAAGAGACGAGAAGGAGAAGATGTTCTGGGAAACACTTTGGAAACTGCAAAGCACCAGACAAACACCAACATCTTATCTTTTCCCTCAGGGCGGTTCTTACTCAGGGACCCATCGGAAGATGCAGCAGGAGAGGCCCAAGAGCCTCGCTGGCCCTCGTCCTCCAGAGAGAAGCAGACCAACCATACAGGCTGCTCCCCACTCCTGCCGCCCTGACTTCGAGCAAGCTCCACAGTCTCACCCCGCTTTGCCAGGAATTGCCCTTGTTAGGGAGAATTTAGCAGTTTTCGAAATCCCCAAGTGCCTACTCTCTCATTTGGTGACACAACAGATGGGCAAGACTGGAAGGGCAGGGAGGAGCATCTCCCAGTACAATGGGAGAAACTGGGGCTCAGAGGGACTGAGACCCTAAGTGCACCATCCTCGCGATCCGGTGTCACGGGGAGGGTCAAGGTTGTTGGCTCATCGGAGAGGCCCAGCATCCCCCAGCCCAAGTGCTGATGTCATTACCCACCCCTGGGGTTCTTAGCCTCTTTGCTCTCCTAACTGTGCCAGTCTGGTTGTACTTAAACCAGGCCCCCAGTGGGCCAGAAGCTCCCCATGCCAGGCCCCTAACTGCCCACTGAGGGAATCTTGGCCTCCCATCACACAGGCACAGGAGCCAATGAACCATGGTGCGCACGCACTCAGGGCCGCGGGGTCCGGCAGTGCCGTGAACGGGGGATGGGCAGGGCAGAAGGAACCCCGGTAGCCAGAATGTGCACCAAGACACGTGGGGGTACGTCTTTCCACAAAGAAGAGACCCAAAATATTTTTTGAAGCTTGTGCCTCTCTTGATTTCCCATTTTTGATAGAAACATGGATACAGAGAAATATTTCCCTATCTTAAGGGGGAAAACCAATGCAAGTATGATGATCTATGAGCCCGGACCCTCTGCTCCTTAACTGGGGACATGAAGGGGAGCCGTGGGGCAAAACGGACTGAAGTGGGGGCTGCTTCTCACCTCCGCATCACCATTCCCACACTGGACAGTGTGTCCAGTTTCACAAGATGTTCTGAGTTTCAAGGGAACCTGGAAATGTGCACCTTTATATGCCACCTGCCTGTTACACAGAGCACAAATCTCGTTGTCCTCTAACAGTCCATGAAGACCAGCTATGCAAAATGCATTGGGGGCCAATTTTTTAAAAAATATGAAACACTTTATGTATTTGCATGTCATCCTTATGCAGGAGCCATACTAATCTTCTCTGTATCGTTTCAATTTTAGCGTATGTGCTGCCGAAACAAGCACCTTGGTATCCAAATCTGACTTGCAAGTTTGGATGTCTTGCTCAGGTTTTATATTTTACCCTGGCTGTCAATGTCTCTGCCTCAGAAGATCACACCTGGTTCTCAGACGAGAAGTTGATTTGCCTTCTGCAAGCAAGTCCCAAAGACCTGAGAGGGAGCACGGAGAGGTTCCCAAGTGTCGTCTTCCCCGAGAGCACTCAGGGGACACCCCACTCTCTCCTACTCTGAGGATCAGCCACACAAGCATATACTGAGCCTGATTGGTTTTATTCTTAGGAAATAAAAATGGATGAATTGACCACACTCTTCTCTATTTTTGGTTTCATGATAAGAAGGAAAATCAATTCCTCATTCCAAAAGACTAAAGAATGATTTAGTAGATTTTGTTCAAAAGCCTTGCCCTGTTGAGTTGAGGATGTGGCTTTCTTGACACACATCAATACTAGTTAGCAAAAACTGTAGACATGACCCCTGAGAATCCCAAGTTCAAGGGCTTATATCTTAATATAAACAGGCTGTGAACTTTTGACTAAAACAGGTAAAGTAACGACAAACAAACCATGATGAAATGAAAACTAATCAGAGGAGAATAATTGGCTGAATTTTTTCGAGAAGCCCCGCTAATCCTGGAGGATATGATCTCACCTTCCGGCCATGCAGCTGCTGTCCTCGCAGGGCAGCTGTGGATGCGCTGACATCCTGGGTTGCGTGTGTGCCTTTGCTCCCAGCCTCAGGAGCGTGGTGGGAGCACTTGGCCAGCATCTTCCTCCCTCACAGCCACCTTCTCCTTTTCTCTCCTGACCAACAAGCCCCATGCTTCAAGCTCTCCTTGGTATGCTCGTGCACACCTGGACTTTTCCTCCTTGTTCAAAGTCATCACAGAATTAAAAAAAAAAAAGAAAACAAAAACATTTGAAGAAATTAGAACAACTGACAAAAATGAAGTTGAACAAATTCACTGCCTCCTTCCTTCTGTATGTTCCCCACACAGTAGCCAGTGATCCAGGTAAAATTCAAAGATTCTACCATACCTCTGCTCAGGGCCTGCAGCAGCTCCCTAATTCTCTGATGAAAGCTATGGTCCTTCAAATGACTTCCAAGTGTCTCTATGATTTGTTCCCTACCTTCGCACGACTCACATCTGTGGTCTCACCTCCTTCTGCTCTCTCCCTCCCCCATGCGTTCAGTCAGCTACACTGACTCCTCAAGCACACCAGGCCCACCCCACCACAGGGCCTTTGCACTTGCTGCTCCTTCTGCCTGGAATCTCTTCCTCAGATAGCCACATGCTTCAGCAACATCCCTCACTCCCTCACTTCCTTCAGATCTTTATTCAAGGGCCACCTCATTGTGGTTTTGATTTGCATTTCCCTGATGATTAGTAATGTTGAGCCCCTTTTCAGGTACTTCTAGGCCATTTGTGTGTATACTTCAGAAAAACGTCCGTTCAGGTCCTTTGCCCATTTTTCATAGGATTATTTGGTTTTTTTGCTGTTGAGTTTTCATAGAAACAGAGAAGAGAATGGCAGTTGCCAGGGTCTGAAGGCAGGGGGGGAATAGAGAGATGCAGATCAAAGAATACAAACTTTTAGTTATAAAAGGAATAAATTCTAAAGATCTAATGTACAACATGGTGACTACAGTTTCTTTTTTTTTAAATTTTATTATGTTATGTTAGTCACCATACATTACATCATTAGTTTCTGATGTAGTGTTCCATGATTCCTTGTTTGCGTATATGTGCCCTCCTTAATATCCATCACCGGGCTAACCCATCCCCCCACCCCCCTCCCCTCTAGAACCCTCAGTTTGTTTCTCAGAGTCCTTAGTCTCTCATGGTTCGTCTCCCCCTCTGATTTCTCCCCCTTCATTTTACCCTTCCTACTATCTTCTTCTTAGTTTCTAATATGGTTTGTAAACTTGAAAGCTGCTGAAAGTAGATCTTAAGAGTTCTCACCAAAAAAAAGAAGAAGAAGAAGAAGGAGTTGACTATGTAAGACATTGGCTGTGCTAATTATCTGGATCTCAGCAATCATTCCACAATGTATATGTATATTATATCATCACAGTGTACACTTTCAATATATACAAGTATATCTGTCAATTATTCCTCAAAAGTTGGAGAAACAAATGTCACCTCCTGGAGGCTGTCCTGGCCATGATATCTAACACTTGGATTCAGTGTCCCCCTCTCTAGCACCCCTCCCTGCTCTCCCCTCTTGCTTTGTTCACCCATATCACCCAACACTCACTGTATGAGGTGTGGCCTGCTCTACATATATGACCTTGTCTGTTAACTGCTTCCCTCCCAGATTGTCACCTCCCCTAACAGCAAGGATTTTGTTCTCTTTACTTGAGACATGGTTGACTCCCAAGAAATGTTGAAAATCTTATTCCTTTTTTCAAAAAAAAAAAAAAAACACAGAGTAAAAATAGTATCTAGTCCCTGGCACGAGGACACTAATGGAACTGAGCCATGGAGAAAGCTCTGCTCACCTGCTCTGTGCTGTGTGGGGACCTGGGCAGGTCCCTTGTCATCTCTGAGCCTTGGTCACCTCTGTAAAAGGGGCACAATTACACCTGCCTATCTTAACTCACAGGATGTTTGTAAGATACCAGTGAGAGAACAGTGACAGAAGTCCTGCAAACACTGCCCAGTGTCCCTGGGGCACAGGCAAAATTACCCCACCAAGGACCACTGCTCTGTAAGGATCTATTAGTTATAAAAACAATAATATTCATGGCTTAAATTCTTTAACTGGTGTGCCTTCCCACCAAAATTAAAAACTTGCTTTGCCTTGATAGATTAAATTTTGTTCTTGTGAGAATGAACTAGAATCTTGCCCTGCCCCAGACAGCCCTCTGACTGCTCCTGCCTTGCTTGTCATGGGAGATGTCCTTTCCTCCAGCTGGAAGGCAGTAAAATGTTTTCAGAGTTCACATCTCAATTCAGAGCCTCGAATGAGATCCCCAACGTACTGGGGAATCCGTGCAAAGCTCCAAAGAAGGATCTGGTAGTAAGTCGTTGGGCGGGGAAACACTTCCTTTCTTTACCAGCCACCATAACCATGCCCTCTGGGAAAAGCTCCAGGTGGGTGGGGGATGCACTAACAAACAGGCTAGGGGCTGCTGGAATGTATTTAATGAAATCCAAGTGGCCCCTTTGGGAGGCCTGGCTGTGGGGGGGCCTTTATGGGGGGGCTGTTCTTCTAAAGGGTAGCGACCATCCCAAATTTAACATGATGCACTCCAATGTGCAAAGAAAAATGTTGCTTTTTTGTTTAAATTATCCTATAGCTGTTTTCATCTTCAACCTGAATCCCTGCTCACAGTAAGTGGAGATAGGAAGGAAGCAAAGACGACTGCGCTTTCCAGTGCACAGCATCTCAGTGCTTTGGGGGTTTAAATGGTCGCTTTTAATAGTCAGTTCCAAGTGCAGCTGTCCACTCTGGTAGTCACTCCCTCCCTCTTTCTCCAAATGGTGATCCGGGTGTGAGTGAGAGACCTGGGACTAGGGAAGCCGCAGCCCATGGAGGGAGGGTCAACGAGCTGCCTGCTCTGCTGGTGGCCACCCCAGGATTCCGGTGTGGGGTCTGAAGTGAGTAGGCTGAGGACCCTGGCTGCTCTCACAGCAGGGAGGGCACCATCTGCTGCTACAGCCTGGGCCTCTGGCCTTTGTCATCCTCAGTACCTCTCTCCTCCCAATACTAAGCTGCTGCTAGTCCCCATGAATTTCACACGCTCTTATGTGGCAAGCAGGAGCGCCTGGATCCCATGCGTGCCTGGCCTAGATTTCAGGGAGTCAGGAAGACGGCTGGGGCCTGACCTTCTAAATAGCTGCCACTCATCCCCAGCCTGAATTGTATCTGCTATCAAGCCAAGGTGGGGCTTCTCTCAAGAGCCTCCAACCTCGTTCATTCATTTATTCATTTAACAAACATCTATCCAGGGATCATTTCTATGCCACACACTGCTGTGGGTGCTGGCGATGGAGCAGCAAACAAAACAAAGTCCCCAGTCCAGAAGGAAGAAAAAAGCAGTGAGCAATCAAATGAAATACACAGTGTGTCAGAGGGTGATACATGCTGTTGAGAGATATATATCCGGGAGGGTTGACCAGGACCACTGGGGGAAGAGGGAGCTATCTTAAATGCAGTGATCAGGGAAGCCCTCTCTGATAAGGTGGTATTTGAAAAGATTTGAACAGAGATCTAGAATCCGTGAGGGGTGAGTCATGAGACTATCTGCTGGAAGAAACTTTCAGGCAAACAGAACAGCAAGTGCAAAGGTCCTGAGGCAAGAGCATGCTTGGTGGGTTTGCAAAACAACACAGAGTCTGGGATGGCCAGTTAGAGAAGGCTTTAGAAACACCCAGGTAGATACGGGAGTGCCTCACAACATCAAATAGCTAGCTCCCCATTGCAATACGCTCCTAACTGGTCTCTCTGTCCTGACTATTCTCTGAATCAAGAGCCAGGCTTGCAGATGATGGGCTGTGGAGTCTCAGGTCTGGTTTCTTGGTTCTTCCTCTATCGTGTTCCTCCCTACCAACAACTTCTGGCCCAGGAGAGGTGGGTCTCTTTCAGTCACGTTGGAGAACTCCCTCCTTGTATATCCTGAATTCTCCCTTTTTATGATGACTTACAATAAAACTCCATGATCAGAGTCATGGGAAGTCTCACTCTTTATGTCTAAAATGGGAAGCTTGGGACTTTCGAAATCCCTACTTTCTTTTTCCAAAAAGCCTGGCTTTGTCTCTGCTGGTCCACAGGGTGCCTGTGTGAGAATTAGAAAATGTGGCCAGCTCTCAGAGGACACAGCCAGGCACCACGAGATGCAGCTTGCTGAGCCAAGCCCAGGCTGCATTTTCACCCCTTCCTCATACCCCTCAATTAGCAATCCTCTAGCCTGCACCTGGGTGTCAAGCCTATTAGTCCCTAAAGACTTGACAAAGTCATCTTTGAGACTCAACATTGATCAATGACAAATGTGTCCTAGAAA